TTTTTTTTTTGTTTTACACCACAAACAATATTATTATCAGTGAAGTTAACCTTTCATCCCACTGCAGTCATGTTTATACATAAAAGACACGTATATTCAGAACTGTTGTGTGAGAGGATTCATGTAGTGGATTCTGATTACTATTCTGTACCGTTGGTACTCTTGTTTTTCCAGACATGTCAGTTCCTGTCGGGTGCCAAAAATGTCTGAAAAGTGATCAAGAAATTGTGAAATTTGTAACAATTTGAAAGGGTGTAGCTGTGTTCATTTTCTTTAGAGGGAAAACGTTTGCATTCATGACTGAAGCAGCAGCTTTCCTCTGTCTGTGACATGTTAATGGCATTAGTTCACGTTTCAGATAATTGTCATGCCTCCTGTTGTTGCTCCTGTGTCTGTGCAGTGAGTCGGTACACCAATGCTTTTGCCATCACTCAGCTGTGCGGCGTGCTGTGCGCTCCCTGGAACGGCCTCCTCATGGACAGACACAAAGGCAAACCTCGTGCTGCAGGTAACAAACGCACTGAACACACGGTTAACGCAACCTAAGCTTAAAAATGGGTCTTATAAAACACGAGTGCACACTGCTAAACAGAAATGTACTTATAATGACTTACTCTTAAGAATTAGTATCCTAACCATAATATTTTAGATTGTTTTTATTGTCAGTTAGTAATAACAATCCATAACAGAAACTAATAACACTTTCTGCTCAGAGCTGAAATAAAGTTCCCTCTGAGCTGCTGAAAGGCTGTTTGCTGCAGTCACATTTGTTAAACAAAACCAGCAGACGGAGCTGAAAGTGCAGAGAGATATCTCATTTCCATGTTTTGTGTTATAAGCAGGTGTTTTCATTCCAGGTGAATGTCTGTGTGTGTGTGTGTGTGTGTGTGTGTGTTTCCAGGTGAGACGGAGCAGGAGGCGGACCTGCGAGCCTCAGTTCTCTCTCTCTTCCTGACGGCGCTGCAGTGCGTCCTCTTCTCTCTGTGTGCCTCCACCCCCTACCTGCCCCTCCAGTACCTGACCTTCATCCTGCAAGTGCTCAACCGCTCCTTCCTGTACGGAGGCAACGCCGCCTTCATCAGTGTGGCGTGAGTACCACACCCGCTCAAAAACACACACAGACACACAATACCAGGCAGGCGTTTGTGCGCTAAGAAGGATAGTCGCAGGAAGCTGTTATTGTCAACAGTCTGTTTTAAACTGTGTAGATGTTGCATCACTGTAACAAACACAATTTTGTTTTTATACTTTATTTATATATTTTTTGGCTCAGATGTTGTTTTGAGACATTTAAGTGTTTTATTTTAAGAAAAAAWTGATGTACAAGGTGATTCTAAAGTCTTAGGATACCCTTTAATTTCAAAAACAAAGGAGAAATTGAAATAGCTGAAAAACCCAGCAAGTAGTAGGTGAGGGGGCCTATCTTTTAGGCAATGTTCAGAACATGGAYGGCTTCTTTAAAGCTGACAAACTGGATCAAAGTCAATTTTTCTAATTTGAAATGATGAAACTGGTGAAAATTCTGTGTGCTGAGGAGAATCAACAAACACCACTTTCTGCATCGCAACAGCATTTCTCCAGAGATTCTCATGCAGGTTCATAATGATTGGATCCTGCACCTTCAGCTCTGGGTTCAGCATCAGGGACAGCACATTGAACATTCCAATATCGGCACATAACAGGAAATGTTCCCTATTGTTATTGTTGTTGTTGTTGTTGTTGTTGTTGTTGTTGTTGTTGTTGTTGTTGTTGTAACTTTCTGTGTTAACTTTTGAACCACATGAGATATTGAAATTTGATTGTGGTAATCCATTTTCTGCACAATTCAGCTGTTCCGTGATATTCTACATGACCATGACCACCTTCCCATTGGAAAATTTTGATTTGATTAAAGATGTGTGTGTTTCGGACATAGCCTCAAACATTACTTTCTAGGATATTCAGATATTTCATTTTTCCTTTCATTTCTGAAATAAAAGGGTGTCCTGAGACTTTTGACTCACCCTGTAGTCAGGTGAAGAACACTTGGCTTATTTGTCATTTTGTTTGTTTGTAGATTTCCATCGTGCCACTTCGGGAAGCTTTATGGTCTGGTCATGGCTCTGTCGGCAGTCTTTTCYCTGTTGCAGTATCCCTGCTTCGCGCTGGTGAAAGGAGCTCTGGGTGGAGATCCTTTATATGTGAGTATATTTTACACTCTTTTTTTCCAGCTGTTTACAGTTGTGAAGCCTCGTCTCTGACCGCCACCTCTGTTTCCCTCCAGGTGAACATCAGTCTGACGCTGCTCAGCCTGCTGGCCTTCATTCATCCTCTCTACGTCTATCTGCACTGTCGCCGTCTCGCCTCTCAGAGAGCCAGCAGCTAAGCCGTAACTTCTTCTTCTTCTTTTTCCAGGCTTTCTGTCTCAGACACCTGCGGTTTGTGTCGTCACCACTGCTGAGTATCACATCAGTAGCTGAAGTTCAAAACAAACAAACAAAAAGGGATATTAGATACAGTCTGGGTTTTGGTGTTCAGGATTCTAACTCTGAAGTAATGAAACCACAACGACTTTTGTTTGAGAATGATACTCTGTGAAAAAACAGACAAGACTGAATTTCTTTCTACGTTTTTTTATTTACTGCCCCAAATGTTGCACAAAGGAAACTAAAGCTTGTTCGTCTTTAGCATAATCAGAAACAGTTTTAATGAACAAGTAATTCTACATAAAGGGAATTAGAATTTTGTGCAAACGACACTTTCTTTTGAGGTGCAATTTTACATATTGTATATATTTTTCCCCACAAACAGTGTCTTTTTACTGGTGCAGTTTCCCTGTGTTTAAAGGAGGAATGCATTTAAAGGAAAATCTGCCCACATTTAGCTAAATAAAGCCCCTTCTCCGCTGACAAGTGTCACTCTAACCGCTTAGGTTTCACTCAGGTGTGTCTCCAGGCCGTGTGTCCGTCACTCTGTGGGCAGATCGTCAGCGAGCTGCCTCAGCCGATGTCGTTTTATTGTCCAGTAGTGTCATTTTTGTTTTTTWAATTGGTTTGTTTGTTGATTCTTAAAACTCAGTGCTGATTGCAACACGCAGTTAAATGAAGGAAGAATATTCACCTTCTCATGAGAGCTGGTGAGAATTATCTCAGARGAGGAGAAAACTGCCGCCTTCACCTAAAAGTAGGCAGGCGTTTTAGAGAACGTATAATTCATCCTSTCTTACTGTGATCAGCGTCAGACATTGTTGCATCTGTTTTATGCTCAGGATATTAAATGTTGTGAATATAGAACATCCAAATGGTCTGAACTTATATAGCGCTTTATCAAACCCTGTCGAACCCCAAAGTGCTTTACACTGGGAGTCATTCACCCATTCACACAMTGATGATGGTAAGCTCCACTGTAGCCACAGCTGCCCTGGCAGCACATGGTAACACGACTGAACTTAAAGGACATCTGTAGACAAAAACAGAGCAAATTGCTCTCCTCTGTTGAGATGCATGAATGTTTTTCTTCAGCACATAATGAGTGCGGTTTGTTTTTTAAATTTGCAGCTGTGAACCACAAGAGATAATGAGATCTGATTGTGGTAATCAAATTTTCTGGACCATTCTGATCCWTGATATGTTAAATGACCWCCTTCCCATTGGAAAAACCCTCTTTTAATTTAAAAAAGTTGAGYCGGAGCAGATAGCAGCAAACAAGGAAAAAGCAGGGTKTCCYCCAGTGTATTTTTACCCTGGTGGGCTGCCAGGCCCCCCCACAGGCCAAGTGTCATTTAATTATTTACAACCAATTTAAATAACCAGAACAACATTCAGAACGTCGCGCCCACTGTTTCAAAGGGAACCTTTTTCCCTGCWGCACCGTTAAGCAACAGTCAACTAGGGGCAGAACCACAGACTTGGTTCAGGTTGCTCTTGTGTTTTTTTAATTTTTTATTTATTTTTTAATGAACAATTTATGCCGTTTGTGCAGTTCACTCATTAAAAACAGTACCACTCTGCGTCTATCACAACCCCCTCCCAGGTCAATAAATGCTACGGTTCTATCAAACACACAGCCCACCAAACAAGAGCAGCAGTCAGTTTAGGCAAACTGGTTTTTAAAGAACCTGTAATTAGAAAACCCAGTCAAACTGTTTCTTGTTGCTGAACCCGATCACCTGTTCAGGTAATAAAAATGAGCTCTGTGGTTTACAGAAAGACGGCCTAATTTGACATAAGACTTCAGGATTTTGTTTAGCTGGTTTCATATGAGTCATTTCAAGCATTTRATTCTGTTTAAAAATACAAGCTGATAACATTTATACCTCCTTTAAAACCAGTCGCATCAGGAGCCAATTTTAACTTAATTTATTGCTGTAAATTGGAAAATAATTGYACAAAGTGAACTTCAGATATTCTTCTGCCCTTTTCATTTAATCACTCCTTCACATATTTTGTTGTGTGAAAGGAACTCCCCTCAGAGATAACTGTGTCCCAGGCACGAACTGAAGTCTGGAAAATAAATACCAACATTCCTAAAACTGAAAYAGAAATGAAAGCCCTTAATGTGGAATTGATTAAAGTAACACTTAAAAATATGTGAAATAAAGAAATCAGGTATTTTATCAGTCTGTTWGTTTCAGCTTCATCTGAAGCAAGAATCTGTTACACAGTTTAATTTTGTTTACAGAAACGTTTCAACACTTAGTCGTTTTTTTTTTAATCTCTGGCATTTGACTTGTGTTACGTTTTGAGTCAAAGTTACATTTTTTTGTTTTACTTTTCTGTTGTGTGAATGTGTTATTTAAAAAAAAGCCATTTTCTGATGCCTGAGTGCCAAAAGATGATAATTTTCACATCAACAAACGCCTCCATGCTGGGTTTTTGTTGTTACTGTTTGTCAACAAAGAAAGTAAGGGATCAACTCTGAGAACAGTGGATGCATAAAGGGACATGTAAAATACGGACTTGCATCACTGAAACTCTGAATCAGTGTTAAATAAAGGGAAAGACAAACCTGCCACCTGCTGGTTTCTGTCAGTGTTTAAAGTCTCAGGAGTTCAGTGTGTTAGAGACAACCTGTGATACTTTTTTATATCCTGTATCAAAACTAGTGTGAACATTTCTAAAAAGAAAGTTTATTGACTTATTTTCATTTTTTGTTTGAAACAGATTTTTTCCCCCTCTACAATAAACTTTATTGTGCCTCACCAAAGGGAATGTAGCTGTTAATATAATATTATATTTAATATATATTATATTAAATATTAATATAATATTATATTTAATATATATTATATTAAATATATATAATATAATATTTAATCAGTTTTGTATTAAAGGGAATTCACTTTTATACATTTTTCAGTCTGACTTTTATTAAATTGTTACATTTTAGTTACAGCCAGCTACATGTTTTTATAAAAAGTGCATATCTGTCTCTGTAATATGAAATTATGTCCCATAAATGTGTATTTTACATTTAAACAATAAAGAACTGAGGTATTTTAATGTTTGCTTTACTGAGTTTGTTGAGTTGGATATGAATGATGTGGTACTATGTTTAAATGCACCTTTATTCACACACTTCAGAATAAAACTGGTAGATTGAGGACATTTTAGTTGTTTTAAAGTTTTATATATCAGTTATAGTATATTTGGCCCTGGTTGGGTTTGCTTTGAGCAGAGTGCTGCCTCGATGTTGGTGGGTATCAAATCAAAAACGTTCAAATCTTTATGTGATGTCATTTTATTTGCAACACAACAATGGACGACATCAAGCTCGTCGTGGTATTCCTCTTGGTTCTCTATGGTTCAGTACCAGCTGAAACAGAGCGGGTCCAACAATACATCAGTCTAAACAGAACCCCTGATCTCTGGGGTCCAGAAATCGGGCTGGAAGTGGACCATAGTGGCTAACGCAAAGTTACGTCCCAGGCTGGGCCTTACAATGCAAAAATGCATATGTACTTAGCACAAAATATAAAGATATTTGTGTTTGGTAGATTATTTCTTTGTAACCATGGCAATAAATTTTTTTTTTTTTTTTTTTGGAGAAAAAGAAGAAAGAAGAAAAAAGTGAAATGCATTGAGAAAGAGTGAAAAAGAGATTAGAAGATATGTAAATTATACGTTGAGAAAACACAAAACAGCACACCGGACTTCTCGGCTCCACACCTACAAAACAAAGATAGCAAAACCACAGCAACAAAAATGCATAACTATGTAATTATAATGACTTAAGCCTTGCTGAAAACCATACCCATTTACATATATAAATATATACACAAACATACCCCTACCTACATATCCAAACACTTTCATATACATACTTACATACAAATACATACATACACACATACATACCCATACATATACATGCCCATATACATACATGCACACATACATACACATATGCACATATCCTTCGTCAGTGCCCGAATGTAAAACCCAGGATGTAAACGCCTGTTTGTGTGCAGTTGTGATCATGCATGGATCTCTCCCGTGGAATGTTTCAAAGTGAGTGTGGGGGGACCACAGACGCGACCCGCAAAGCCGGAAGCCGACATAAGGGAGATCAGTGCCAAAGACCCCGAGAGGGACCCCAAGCACGCAGCCCCTAGGGACACCCGCGCCGGAAGGGGCGCCCACCCACCCCCCAAAGAGGACCACCGGAGAGAACCGGAAGAGCCCCACCAACGACCACATACAGCAACCCCCGGGGCCAGCAGTGGCGAACTCACAGGCCCCGCCGGTACCCACCGCGCCAGAGTGGATCCAGGCACCGACACAGAGGCCCGGGCCCCCAGGCCGCACCCCCTCCAGGCCAAGGCCCGCTCTGGAGGCGGGGCTGGCGCTCCGGCTTCCCTGGGGCCGTTCGGGCTCCCGGAGGCGGGCGCCGGGTTGCTGTGGTTAGCCCGCTGACTGGGGTGGCTGCCGGGGCCTGGGGGGTGGTCGGTTGGGGGTGGGCTCCTGGCCGTTGGCGGGATGTGGGGGTGGTCCGGGGGGTGGCCTTGCTGGGGCCGGGGGCTGGTTGATCGGACTGGTGCGGCCCGGGCTGGGACTTGGCTGTCTGCTCTTCTCCACCCCAGACTGAAGGGGCCTACCTCCTGGGTTCGGGCGTGAGCTGCCCTCTGCTGGGGGTAGGTGCATATCCTGGGCCTGGGGGGTATAATGTATGTATGGGGAGTGTGAGTGGATTGTGGCGTCCATCTTGTGTGTCTTTGAATGAGTGGGTGAGAAGATGAGGGTGGGACTGTATGAGTGTGTTATGTATGCTTGTATTTATGTCAGGCTGGGAATTGAGCGRCCCCTTCTTCGGGTCCATTTGAGGGCCCACCACTCCCCTGACCATGCTGTCCTCTGGTGGGTTGTACCTTTGCCCGCCGGCGCGCTGGGGGCTCTCGTCCGGGGCTGGGTGCTTGGGCATGTGCCGGCTCGGMCCGGTGGCTGCCCGGCGGGGCTGGGTTCCCCCTGGCCMTATCGGGCCATGGCAATAAATCTTTTGATTTGCAGCACCTGGAGGTACCAGAAGCTGAAAACAAGTGTCAATAACAGCAAAATAAGTTGTTTTGTGTGAATTTGGCAAAGTTTTCATGTGTGCAACCCACATACTCAGCTCTACTGCTCATCCCACAATGATCCTTACAAATGTGGCACCATTTAAAAGAGAAAATAACAGACTTTTCAACGGTATAAGCTTTATTGCAAAGAAGCATTGTTACAACAAAGAAACAATCTACCAAACAAATATCCTTACTTTTTGTGCTAAGATTAGTTAGTCTCAAGGAATTTCTTTTTTTTTTTCACTAATAAAAAGCTGACTTGAGTCAAACTAAATCTTTAAAGAATTAAAAACACCTCATCCTTACCACAATCACACAAAAACAACCCAGATCATTGGCAAAGTGGAAAAACAGTAAAAAGTGTAGTATGGTATGGATGCACACAAGAAGATTCAAGATTCAWTTCAGTGTTTATTGTCATAAACACAGATGAAAACATGTTTCCCTGAGTAATGAAATTCTTACTTTGCCGTCCACTCCGAATGCCAGGAGACAACCACACAAAAAGGAATAAGCACTTAAAGTACACTAACAAATTAATAAGGGATAAAGGATAAAAAATGACCACACTTGGAACAAAAAGGAGACCAAACTAGAGATAATAACATCAGAAGGGAACAATACAGTAGAAGAAGAAAACAGTTGACCGGCTGATTCTAAACCTCATTTTGAGGCCAAAACAACAACAAATACTTCATTACCTTCGGTTATTGATGCAATCAAAGTCAGAGAGTTTGGGTCTAATATGAAGAAGCTGCACAGACGTTTCTGTGTCTCCAGAGGGAGCTGTAGTAAAACTTATTAAATGCTCCAGATTTAATGATCAGGCTGCACACATGAATCTATCAGTACTTTATTAATGAGTCGACGGATTGGGGCTTCATCTTCAGTAATGAGGGCGTTGCTTCAGTCAGTCATGGTGAAGAAAGAGCTCAGTCGAAAGGCAAAGCTCTCCATTTACCKGTCTGTCTACTTTCAACCCTCACCGATGGTCATGACAGTGCACCACCTGTGTACTCCAAAGCTGAACTGTGTTCTATGAAACTAGTTGATTGTCAAACTGTACTCCTGGTGAGTTTAAAGAGCTGCTGCAGTATAATGCAGGTGAACATCATATAGGTGTGATTGAGTACACATTATTGCACCACAGCAGAAACATTTACTTTGTTGTTGAKGAAGTGTGAAGAGGCAGGTTTTGGTCRGTGAATACAAAAATATCACATGCTAGTGCTACATCTTTGCCTAATTTTTTATATGTACAAAAATTGGGCCGGTCTTGGCCATTAAACTCCCGGGCTGAAAAGTTTTCCCACTCTGCCCCTGATCGGAGGAGAGGAAAATTAAAAAAGAAGTTTGAACTAAATCAGCTGAAGACCGAGGATGTCGCTGTGACACAGATTTTGAAGCCTCGCTCGAACTCTGTCAAACAAATGATCTGTTTTCTTGTTAGAGGCGGAGGAAACAATGCGAAGGCTTCAGATTTTCAGCTTTCATTGCTGTCGGTTTCAATCTGCTGCTGGCAGCAAAATGGAAAACAAATCATCTCTGAAGCTGTGAAAGTCTCAGCAAGATAAAACCATCTTAGTTTGCACATGAAGCAGGAGAATAAAACCCTCCTGACAACGACCCATGGGAGATCCCGTTTTAAAACTAAGACCTCTTGGGTCATTTTGACACAAGGGCAGCAGGAGGGTCAACATCAGTGACTGCTCGTTTGATGCTCCGTGTACAATCTGAGAAAAATGACACAAGTCTGAAATTTAGATTTATAAAAGTATAAATCCACCTCCAGCTCTTCTGGGGGGATTGGCCAAACGAGACATAGTCCCTCCAGGGTTTCCTGGGTCTTCCTCTGGGTTTCCTCCTAATCAAACATRCCTGAACCATCTTGATGTGGAGGAGCAGCAGCTCTACTCTTGCGTTCTTTTGGTTACACAAAATTTGTGGCCAGATGAGGGTAAACCGACCAGTAAACATGTAGCTTCTCCTTAAAGGTCAGCTCCCTCTTCACCACAACAGACCGGTACAGCGTCCACAAACCTGCAGAAGCCACAGAGTTCCATCTGTCAATCTCATGCTCCATTCTTCCCTCACTCGTAAATAAAACCCCAAGATACTTGAGCTCCTCCACTCGAGGCAGAGCCTCACCCCCAACCCCAGAGAGAGCAATCCACCTCTTTCTGACTGAGGACCATGAACTCARATTTGAAGATTCATGCAATCATGAATTAATAGTGTTTACTAAGAGAAAACTCCTCAGTTTTTCCCTCTCTTCTACATCCTGCTCTTCACGATTAACGGAACAAAACCAAATGTGCTCAATCAAACAGTCTGATTACTGCATTGCAGCCACATATTCACATACTGTATTCATTTTATACTAATTTAATCTGATTTATCATATTACACCACATGCAAACACAGTTTCGGACTTTAATGTTGCATAGTTTCTTCACAGTTTCAAAGCATGATTTCAACTTTTACACGAACCCCACATCTGGTTCTGAGACCCTACAAAAAACAATCCAACAGGCGTTTGTTTAGGTCGGTTGCAAACGTGAACTTTACACAAAGCGGCTTCGCTTCTCTGACACTAAATATCAAATGATTCATTTTCTTGYGAACAAAGTCCTGTCAGACCTTTTCTGTCCCAAAGGACACCCACGGTTTGTGTGATTCATGGGTTTCTAGCAGCTTTGCGCTCCGTTTGAACGCATAAATTTCTCATAGAATCTACTTTTGATGTTGAAGGCCTGCATCACATATAACGCCAACAAAACACGAGAAGTGCATTCAAGCACAAACTATCAGTCAAATCTAATTAACTTTTTGATGAGGAGGTTGGCTTTTGGGGGTGTTTTTTATTTAGTTATTTAGTTATTTTTTATTTTATTTTATTTTATTTTTTTGTGGTTCTGGGCTTTGCACCCAGAGTGTTTATATGTTTCTGTTGAGTGTGTTTGTGTGGGCTGGATGGTGAACAGTGTCAGTAACATGTTAATTTAGGATCAGAGCTGTGAACATGCTGTGTTTACACCAGTTCAAATGCCAGAGTCCCCATGAATCACTGGGCCACAGCAGGCGAGTGAGAGGATATATGGGAGATAAGGGCATGTGTGTGTGTTGATGCATACATTTATTATTTCTTGAACCAATGCTTCAAGTGTTGCATCAGATCAATCCACCCAAAAATTGATAAATGTTGTAAAAAAAAAAAGAGGAACGACTCCTACATTCACAAACTCACAGCGTCCTCGATGATGGAGAGAAGTTGATGAGGCAGCTGCTCTCCATCGTTACTCCAGGGCCACTGTGAATTCATTAACTGTCCACACACACACACACACACACTCACACATGCACACGACCTTATCGGCCCCCCCTGCGGAGGCCGCCTGCTTGCTGAGCTGTCCGCCGCCCCCACTCATGAAAACCACCGCCAACAGTTCCAGACGCGCGCATTAGTCCCTGCGCCGCGACTTTCAGATGACCTTCCGTGGAGCAGGTTTTTTCGATGAGTGTGCGTTCCCTCAGCGAGCAGATGATGTGCATCACAGAGGACCTGGTCATGACCTGGGCCTTTCAGAGGGGCAGAGGTTGGTGGGGGGGGTGGTCTTCTGTGTGCATTGGTCCATGCACACAGAAGACGTCCGTCCCACATCCTGCCCCACACCAGATCGTCCGCTCCACAGGCTGATTAACTGGAAGCTGTGGCTTTGTTAGAAAAGAACTTACTGTCCTTTAAATGGTAAATGGTCCCCTTTAGTGTTAAAGGGGATAACTCAGGCTCAGTGGGACAACACAACCTAAACCAAAGTGTCATCATAAAATAACCAGTTCTGGACTAAAAAATGTTTTAAAATTACAATCCATTTATTTTATCTCTTAGCACACCAATCATTTAAAATTGAAACTATTTTTTCAAACTGAGGTTGCCCAGAGAGCTTTCTCCAACAGGTAAGATATTGATCGTTCATAAACTTTTAACCCCATGTCAGAAGATTTGAACTGCTTTAGGTTTTTTTACATTTTCTATGGATTGTTTTGTTTTGATAAATGGGTCACATGTGATGTGTGTCTGTGATGAACATGATGTGCAGGACGTACTGTACCACAGAGACTGGTCAGTCTTATGTCATCGCTCTGCCTCACACACATGTAACCGAGTCCATATGCTGACGTTAGGTCACCTCGCTCCACCGCTGGCTTTCCTCTTCATCTTCATCTGTTGCTCGGGGTTGTGGGCAGCATCTCGGCATCTTTCCAAAACCAACCTACACTGGGGTCAAAAATGATATTTACACTGTTTTTTTTTTCATGCCTGATGAGTTTTCCCCACCTCTTACGTGAGGCCACAGGTGAAGCCCACAGTTCTTCTAATTAGCAAGATTTTCAGTCATTTCTCTGGATTTTATCTAGGTTTGTTGTAACTTTCATCCCACCAATTCCTCCCACACTACAGTTAGTCTTAAAGCATAAAAAAATTAATCAATAGGTGTTTTGGTCTTAAAAGTGTGTCAAAATGCAGATGAAATTCCATATTGTGGGAGCAGTTTAAATATTTATCTAAATATAAAAGACTTTGTGCCATCTGGTGTCTTTTATCATCTTCATTAATGAATAATAAARAATTCATCTCTGTTGGCAGGCAGTGAACACCATAATGAGAGTGTTAAAACCCTCCCTCCCTTTTCCTCTGCCTTTCTGGTCGCTTCCTCCGGTGGCTCCCCCTCCTCCTGACGTAGAGAGGATCCTTTCTGCCCACGGCCGTGGGCGACCCGGCCACGGGTATAAACGGCTCCCGGTGCCTTCAGCTCGTCACTGCGTGAAGCAGCAACAACAGCAGCAGAGACTCGGACACCAGAGCTGAACCYCAGCAGAGATAGCAGCAAGCAGGCTCCTCCACGCCGCTCAGGCTAACTCGCTTTCAGCTTTGGTTCGAGATGGAGACTCGTCGTGGCACCAAGAGGGGCTCCGGCGTCCGCAACTTCAAAAGTAAGTGGCTCCAGTTTCTTCACTCCTAAAGTCTCCACTTTTAGAATATGTTAGCAACTTATTTTGTAAAGCATTCATACCTAAGTTTATATCTCAAAACTTGTTTCTTCTTTTTTTATGAGTTTATGGAGTTTTTGCGCTTTTACGCACAGACGCATTGATTTAAATGTCTCTTTGCACCTCTTTTAACATTTATTTTAATTAATATTAATGATTTATGAACATTTCGTCTGTCATGTGTGCTTTAAGACTTCTGTAATATAACACATAGAAGWTTTTGGCGTTAAATAGCCAAACTCTTTTCTTATTACGCACAAAAAGTTGCTCACATTTCTGAATTTTCCTCACTTCACGATTCTTTTGTAGTAAATAAACTTGAGAAACGTCTCTAATTCGTCTCACATTAAGTCCAAACTCTTCCAGTCTGGACACATGGACCTTGGGGTCAAAGGGGTCAGACGGTGGAAAATCTTGCGCGCAGTGGATGAATGGAGTTGCATTACTATTTAATGCWTGTACTTTTCCCGCGCAGCTGTTATCTGAGCGCTGCCAAAAACAAAAGCCTCTGAATTACTGATGAGAACTGRAACTGATCTAGGTCTGGTTGCTGGTTGTAGTCCCAGCCTGCCCTCTGCAGTGGCACACCTTTGACTGTAAACAAGCGTTTGGTTTAAATAAACTAGGACTAAGAGCAGTGATTCTGATTTTTTCCTTTTTTTTTCCTTTTACTGATTTGTGTTAATTTTGAAGTTGTTATGTAAGAGTGTCATTGATGCCTGTGTAAAAGGATCAGGTGGGAATGGGTCAGTGATTTTTGGTCTGAATTAAACATGAGTTATGGCTGAGAGCAGAAAAAGAATCACAACAACGGGAAAGCTGAAACCCACCTCAGTCCTCATCTGTCACTCATCCTCAGAACCACATTGCCAATTTTTTTTGTTTTGTTTTTCAATGTTTCCCCTTTTTTTGTCTCCTCAGGTGGTTTGTCCCTGTGGCTGATTCTGTGGCTGGTAGTGGTGAAGCCGGGCGGGGTTTCTCCGTGCCCCAGGCTGTGTGTGTGTTACCCCACGCCCATGACGGTCAGCTGCCAGTCGCAGAACCTCACCATGGTACCAGCCGGCGTGCCCTACGACTCCCAACGAGTTTTCCTGCAGAACAACCGCATCACTGAGCTTCGCGCAGACTCCTTTGGCTTCGAGACACAGGTGAGAATTGCATTTCCTTCTGCACTCAACGCCCTAAAATCAGCTCTTTTTGTCTAATCCGGGTGTTTTCTCTCCATTTGCCAAATCATGACTCCGCAGGTGCTTTGGCTGTACGGCAACAACATCACGTGGATTGAGGCTGGAGCCTTCAGTAACCTCCGGATTCTGGAGGAGCTGGATCTGGGCGACAATCCCTCGCTGCGGCACCTRGAAGGTGGAGCGTTCAGGGGCCTGGAGAAGCTGCAGAGCCTGCACATGCATCGCTGCAAGCTGGCCACTCTGCCCCATGACATCTTCCACAAACTCTACAGCCTGCAGTTCCTCTATCTGCAGGTACCAACACACACTTACACAGCAGTGGGGCCTAAACTGGTCTTCCAGAGCCACTATCCTGAATGTTTTAGATCCACTTTGACACACCGATTTGAATAAAGTGATTAAGATTCATTTAAAAAAAACTCAAACCTGCAGGATGTTGGCCCTCGAGGGCCAGGATTTAGCACCGCTGCTCTCACATGGTTGTGTTCTTTACAGAAGTCCACATCCAGGCTGCACACCCACACAATGATGTGTTCACACCACAGTTCAGTCAGTTCAACACAATTTATTACAAACTGAGAAAACATCGCCCCCAAAACAGAAACCCAGAGATAAACAYGGATTCATTTCGCTTTATTACACAGAATCCTCAGTTTCACAGAATCAGAAGATTCATCCTGTGAGGTAGTCAAAAAAATTTGCCCACTTGTTTTTCTTGAGAGCTATGAGTCAAATGGAACAAAATCACAGAAATCTTAAAAAAAAATTAAAAATAAGCAGAGCTGACTGAGAAGATCTGAAAACATCAGCCAGAGTCTTTGAAGCAAATGTCTAAAAATGATCACATTTAACGTCAAAACTAAACAAAACAACCAGAAAAACGTAATTTCTTATTGTTGAAACTAATTTATATAAAAACCAGCTCAGCTGTTCAAACAAAAACGCCACTCATGTAATAAATGTCCAAATTAAATGTTACATTAACATTACAAGTCTCAGTTTTGATTGGATTTCCATTCAAACCTCTCTTCATCTCTAATGRAAGCTGCCCTGTCTCAGCTTTTAGCTGCTGGCAGCGAGAACTCAGCTCTTATTGAATCCTGTCTTTGCTCCAATTAGACGYGAGTTTCCTGCCAAGGTTTCATTTCAGGGAAAGCTCGACAACAAATCTCTGAGTCAAATAATCCACGTCACAGCTGACYGCTCAGAAGATAACGTCACGATAAGAAGCTTATTTTGAAGAAGCTGAGTGTTAGAGTCTCTGACTCACTTTCAGCTGGTTTTAATGTGAAATGTGAAACTAATACAGGCAACAATGTGTTTGTGTTTGATTTGCAGATGTAGTAAATGAAGAATCTACTATTTAAAATGAAAATAATAAAATAAATAATTTAAAAGCATCTTCACCAAACAGATCTCTTTTATTTTGTCTTTCTGCAGGAAAATCAGCTTCACTTCCTGCAGGACGACCTGTTCTCAGACCTGGTCAACCTGACCCACCTGTTCCTGCACGGGAACCGCATCCGCGCCCTCTCCGAGAACGTGTTCCGAGGCCTGGTCAACCTGGACCGCCTCCTCCTCCACGAGAACCGCATCAAGCAGGTCAACCGCCGGGCTTTCCGCGATCTGGGCCGCCTGACCATCCTCTACCTCTTCAACAACTCCCTGGCCGAGCTGCCGGGCCAGGCCATGCGGGACGTGCAGGACATCCAGTTCCTCCGCCTCAACAGCAACCCCTGGTCCTGCGGCTGCGAGGCCCGCCCCCTCTGGGAGTGGTTCCGCAAAGCCCGCATCTCCTCCTCGGAGGTGGTGTGCACCTCCCCCACCCAGCGCCGCGGCCAGGACCTCAGGTTCCTGCGAGAGCTGGACTTCGCCCCCTGCCCCCTGCCCGACCCCGGCTCCCTGACCGGGTCCACCACYACCACCTTCAGCACCAAGACCCGCTGGTGGTTCTCCAAGCACAAGCCCGCGTCTTCGTCCAAGTCCTCCTTCCAGAAGACCTCGGACAACGCAAAGACCTTCCCCTTCCCCGTCGGGAAGCCTCAGTACGGCCCGAAGCTCGCCCCGGACACCCTGCCGGTCAAATACGAGCTGTCGGAGGCCGAGGCGGCGCTCCCCAAGCTGGACCCAGAAGAATACTGGGCCAACTACGGCAACGAGGACTCCTCTATCCGCTGCTTCGAGCTGGAGTGTCCTCCCAACTACGACGGCGCAGCGTTCCCCTCATCCTCCTCCTTCTCCATCACTCCATCAACACTCCGCCTCCTCGCCGCCTCCATAGCAGCATTCTCACTCCAGCTCCTCTTAAGCTGAGCTCCTTTTCTCCTCCGAAATCTGTCCTTTTCTTCTCATTTCTCCTCCTGCTCTTTCTCACTCGAACTAACCAAAATGAAAACCGCATCTGGGTTCCTTTCACTCGCCTTCCGGAGGRGACGAGGCGCCGGCGCAGGAGACGGATGAGGCGGCAGGAAGCTGCTTCAAGGAGCCGAGGTCCGACGGGCCGGAGCAGAGGAGGTCCAAGTCTTTGTGAGGACTGCTGAATCTTGGTAGTTCAGACTTCAAAAAGCATGAATCACATGACAGGAACTGAGTTTGCAGGGAGATCAGCAGAGCAGAAACCAGTCATGATCGTGCTCACAGATTACTTAATCCCAGCTGATTAAAACTGGGGATTGGTGGCACCAACAGGAAGTTGTAGATGATGGGTTGTGGTGAAGAGATTCAGAGTTTAGAGATAAAAGCGTGTAAATAACACAACCATCACTGTACAGAGTAATGTGTTTATACTAATACTAACCTGCTGGGTTTCTTTTCAGAGCAGGTTAGATGATTAAACTGTTTGTTTATTTTTTTTCCACCTGTCTCTTCATCTGAAAACTTGTTTCTAACTGAAGGAAAATTAAGATGTTTTAGGAAAGAAGGAAAAAACAGGAGGTTTTGTGCTTCTGAGTTTGATTTTTTTATTTTTTATTTATCTGTTTGTTCTGGTTATGTGAGTAGAAGCTGAAGGGTGAAATTTAACCAGATCCTGGTCTGGAACTGATTCAGAGTTTGATGAGTTTAGTTTTTGTTGCTTGAAGAATCGAATGTCCCGTTGTTTTCCATTTCTCACCAAAGTTAAAGTGTTTTTCACAGAAATATTTTCCTGTTTTAACTAATTAAATGGCGTCATCTTGATGATGAGAAGCACTAAACTCACTCCTGTCCTCGTGACGCAGCAGCTCCCTGACTCCTCTCTGTTTTTTTTTTTGTTTCTTTTTTGATCAGTGAAGGATTCATGTCATTTGTTTCTCATCACTTTGTTTTTGGCTTCAAGCCCAAACTGATTTATAGAACTGTGAGTTTCTGACAACGAAAACTACTGTGACGTTGCTGGATTTTTTTAAATTGTATTTTTCAATGGAAAACATAAACTGTTGATGTGTTTGGCTTTATTAATAAAATAAAACTTTAAACAGAAAGTGAGTTGGATGGGGTTTTTTTCTGTTACTAAAGATGTTGAAAATATGCTATTAAAAATTTTAAAATCTGAAGAAAAAAGAGTTTAACATGTTTTTGATTCATATTCACAGAGTTAGCGACACATAAGTTGCCATGCAAACCACAGTTAATGTGGTTTAGACCAGATTGACAAGCAAACGTAGTTAATCCTAAAGTTTGTTCATTTCTCAGTTAGAATTAACCCAAATAAAGAATATTATCTTGTGTCTGAAACACTTAATCCATATTTAATCCAGGCTCATGCACTCAGTGTTATTATTAGCTGCTATACCAAAAACCTGGCCCACAAATTAAAAATATTATGATTTTACTGAGATGATTACTTGCATAATTAAAGTGACWTATAGTTGATATAAAGACTGCTAATAGGTTTGACTTGTATCCCTGCAGCTGATGATTAAACTGACCTGGTTTCTTCTTATTTTTTAGAAAACAAATTAATTCAGAATTATGAGGCTAACAGACTCCATGAGTCGACACAAACAAATTATAATAACTGAATAAATCCATTTATCATTTCTTGTTTATTCATTTAGGCATTTGACTCATTTGATTTTTTGTAAAAGTGAAAAATGTAACATTTTTAGTTATTAGAATAANGTTATTAGATTAATTATCGATGAAAGTCACCTTCTCTTTCAGGTTCTGTGATTCTGTTAGTTTTCTAAAAACAAAAATTTGTTGTTGTGATCCACTTCTCCTCAGCCATCAGGCCAYCTGCCAGTCACAGCTGCAATCACTCTTCTCATCTAAGTCTGATTTTTTTCCTTGTGTCTGTGTCCACTTCAGAGTTTGTAATTTGTTACCATCTCATCAGCTTTTTTTTGTTTTGTTTACAGTAGATAAGTTTTTTGCTCCTCCTGTCAGTCTGCATTTTCTGGGTCCAAACCTTCTGCCTATTGCAACATTAACATTAAAGGGTCCAATACAAATCAGTGTACTATTCAGTTTGCTTAATTTAAATCCAGTTTAATGCAGCCAGAAGAATGTATGATTCTTAACTATTTTGTTCTTTTCTAAATTTAACGTAAACTAATTYAGAAATGATAAGTTTCTGTTTTGAATCAAAGCCCCAGTTCTATCATGTTTGTTGCGAAAAGGAAAACACGTGAATTCAAAAGGGGATTTAAAAAAAGGTTTTTATTGAACAAAAGCAAAGGCAGCAACATGGCAGCAAAGGGGAGAAAGAAAAAAAACAGAATCAGAAGAATCGGAGCAAACCTGACAGCAGCAGAAAGTAAAACACATCGACAGAGAGCAAGACACAGAATATAACGAGRTGACAACGAGAAACACCTGGAGAGAGACAGGAGGATCAGATGAGCGTTGGAGGGGCCATGGCAAAGGCAGAGAGAAGAAACAGAAAACACAGGGAACAAAATAACAGAGGATATAACCAAAGACAAGAATTGTTCAGAACAGGGCACACATGAGCCCTCAAGTGGCCAGTTGTCATAACTTTGGTGTTTCCTGTGTAACTTTAACTAAACATGAAAAGTCCCATTCCWCGTCTCCTTGCCACAGCTGAGCACCGCTAACAAACAACAACTGAGCTCTGTCTAGTATTTCCTGCATAGAAACAGCRTTTTAACAATTCTTCTCATGRACACTGAAGAGTGCTACATGTACAGCTGACTGTTAAATAAATTATACAGAAACACAATTAAAAGTAAAAATAGAGCATTTCACGGTTGAGTTGTGGTGAGTAGTTGCCAGTTTGAATTCTGATATCTTTCACTTTCTGACAAGGAATACCCAATGCATTCCAGTTTACAATTACGCTTTTAAGTGGGAARTTCCCACTTTCCAGTACAACTGGGCCACAGCAAATGTAGCTGGCAAAAATGCTGCAAAATGAAGATYTTGAACTGCAAGTTGCATGTTTTTTGTACAAAGAAAATACACTTTTAAATCAGAGTATAATATCAAATCAGGTAAACCTCTGGGATRCTGAGCTGGTCAGGTRAGAAGCAGAGAGGGTTGTTAMTCAGTGGGRCTGYTGATGAAATTTACAACGTRCACCGAAGGGGCAACGATGAGACCCCAACAACAGGAATGGTTTTGCAGCTGGAGGACACAGACATTTCTTCCCAGTAGTTTTGGATTTGACTAGGGTCTATGTCACTACTAGTAGTATGAGGTGACACCTGGAGCTCATAGAGGWTTTACAGGTGGTTCAAATCCACCCAGATGGCACAACAATTTGTGCCATTGGCAGAAGGTTTGCTGTCCCAGCACAGTTTCAAGAGCATGTAGGAGAATCCATGAGACAGGAGTGCTGGACAGGGCCGTCGGAGGTCCTAGGGGTGCACGATAGTTATGGGCCCGATAGTTTCACAGGGATTAAAGAAGCTATAAATAAACACAAACATTTTGTTGTGTTCATTGTGCTGCCTCTTCACCTGTTTCTTAAAATTATAGGATGATGTGTTTTAAGAAGGGGAACATTTAACAGGAAATCCTTTGGTTTTTAAGCACTGAACTGCCAGAGAAGGTTATTTAACAAGATCAAACAGAGGGTGTTTGCTTCTTAAACAAGGACGTGTGAGCCATGAAAGCAATTCAACATAGTGTGATGAAATAAGGTCACCAGTTTCAGCAATGGGCCCTTCTCACCCCAACTGCACTTCTCACCATTTGCAGAAGGCTGCTAAATTGGGCCAAACACTGATAAACTGTTGTGTTTGTGTGTGTGTGCGTGTGTTTGTGCAGTGTCAGAGGGTTTGGTGGGTGGGCTGACATGTGATTCAGGGAAGAAACAGAATGGGGAACACAGGATGAAAAAATGTGCCGACGTGTCCCAGAATCAGCACACCCCCTCAACAGATCCGCTCTCACCATACATGATGAMCGTGAGAGTCATGTGCAAGAACACATGTAGTACAAACACACACACTAACACACTTCAGCCTAGTTCGGTCCTACTTTGAACAGACATTCTTGTTTCTAAGGCTGTGGGAGAAAACTAGCAACACCTGCTAATTTATAAACTTTTACATGACTGTCAAATTGGCATTCTACTGTTATTTTTTGTAGAAATCTATCGTTATTTGTAAGTTGCAGCTAGCTTTAGCACTTCTGGAGCGACGTGTGACTCTTGGTAGGAACATCACACAACAATCCTAACAAAAAAAATATGGCTCCATACAGGTTTATTAAATAGGATTTGCTGAACCACTACGATTTCTTTTTTGTTTTTTTAGATTTGAGTTTTTTAAAGATGGYAGAAATCCACGTTAGTCTTTTAAATGGTGCCACATTTGTAAGGAACATGCATTTGTGGGATGAGCAGCAGAGTTGTGGGTTGCACACAAGAAAAAATTGTCAAACCTTCTCAGCCAAACAGGTTATTTTGCTGTTGAGACTTGTTTTGAGCTACTGGTACCCCCAGGTGCTGCCAATCAGGTGACCGCGATTAGGTCACTGCTGGCAGAACCTTCTCATCTTCTGACAGTTTACAGAGCTCTACAGGTTCTGGTCATTTATTATTACTTCTTCCAGAAGCCTCTTTTGGAAGTATACATACCGTAATGCTAACAATTATATCAAATGTATACCYCATTTGAGTAATTTTGGTGTAACAAAATTTTCCCAAGTTGGAAGAAATTGTCTCAAACATTGTCAGAGCCTTGAGGAAAATAAATTGAAATGTCTCAAACAAGTGTTTCCATGAAGGAGACACTTCTGGTACTCTTTGATGACAGCAGTGTAATAGATCTATTGTTTTAGTCCTGATTTTMAAAAAAGAAGTCAACAAGTTATCAAAAAGTAAAGTACTTGTTTAGAAAGTTTGATTTAAGAAACAACCTCTGCAGGAAATTAACTTTCAGTCTCCACGCTGTGAGTTCATTATTTCCTTATCGTACGTTTCCTCTGTTGTAGCAGAGCTGGAGGAGTTTGCCGTATTTGCTTCATAGCCACTTACTTCCACATTTATAAGGTTTTTCCGGAGTAAAGCCAGGCCAAAAGCAGTGTGTTTTGTTTTTTAAATGATGTATGCCCACTCATTCTCCACCCAGCCTCGTGTTTCAATGTGCCACGTTTCTTTTCTTCCTCTCTTTTATGTCTTTATGAATTGCTGTCACTCAGTTTTTGTCCTAAACTCTCGCTTCCAACCCATCACTCTCTCTCTCTCTCTCTTTCTCTCTTTTTTTTGGCACATTCTTCTCTGTGTCTGTTTTTGGCTGAGGCCTGTTTGAGTCGGCGTGATCATTTGCATACGGCTGCGCCCATTCGCTGACRTTCACCTGTTGTTTGCATCAGATGAATCACGTCTTCAGAAGGCCCATGAAGGATAAAACCAGAATCAGGAGGACTTTACAAAGAATACGGTGGAATATTTATCCTGGAGAGCAAACAGAACAGAACAGGGTTGACTTGTATAGTGTTGCACTCAGCGTGACAAGTGACCATTAGCTTCCATAGTTAATGAACATCTTCTTCAGTGCTGTTAGGCTGGCCAGTTTCTGTCAGTCAGTGTGTGAGAACCTGAGTCTGCAGGGCAACAAACTGCTCCGATAACCGAAAGAACAAACAGCACAACCAATACTAAACCAGAACCAGAAATACTGTCAACTCAAAGAGTTTTGCAAATGTGTTAGTAGCATAAACTACCCTGGTGGTCCAACATAAATTAAACACTTTTCTCAGAAACTTGACTCAGCCTGATTTGCATCGACCCGGCGTGGGTCCAGAGGTTTTCCATGATCCACTTCCAGCTCGTTTTTTAAAAACCTACCTGGCTTAAACAGCGCCGAGCCGATGAGTTCAGCTGAGTGTAAATTCAGGGGTTGCAGCCCACGTAGACCACGGCCCGTGRAGGCAACACCCTTTGAAATGTGGTCAAGGCTGGATCTAACGGCTGTGAAATGAGACAGTCAAGCCTTTGGACGATATATGCTTTCATGACCACGCATTACCTCCTCATGATATGTTTTATATCACGTGCCTTCAGACTTAAAATGCATTKTATTCACACATCTTTTCATGGGAGGTTTAGCTTCACTATGAGTTCAACATATTTTTAAAAACATTACACAAAAAAACATTAATAACTTGTGTTTATCTCCAGTACCAGTGTTGGATTTGCACGTTATTTAATCACTCACTGCAGCATAAATTTCATCAGCTAAGTTGCAACAGTTAAAAGCTTTGGTCCGTGATGATTTTCTAAGCTCGGCAATTTTTCTTTTTTCTGTTTAGTTTTATGATGGCACGATGAATCCTGGGATATTGTTGGCCGTATAGGATAGTCAAATGCAGCCTTTGTTTTCGGGGATTTGTCGATCCGGTCCCAGTACTTGCATTACAACCCTCTATGAAGCGTGTACTCAGTCGAAGGTCATATGAGGGTTCAAGYGCGCAGGTTACAAGCATGCAAAAATTGGACAGTACGCACACAAGGGTGTAAGTGCGAGTATTGGGACTGGGCCATTGTCCGCAAGAAGAGGAGCCCACGAAATGGAACAACATTCGGACGCAACCCCAGCTCACGTCAGCAGACTGTAAACCAAAGAAACCGCCTCACCTGATGAGTCATAACAGCGCCATGTTCATTTTCTTTTACTGCACCAACTTGCTTTTATTTAATTTTTTAAGTGTTCATGTGTGATTAACCTTAGAACGAGCACCAGACATACATGACCTCAGTGGCCTCCATTGTTGTGTGTTGCCAAAAAATTATATCAGAGGAATGTTGAGCAGCTTCGTTACGATGATCTTGATTCCTCACTACATCCAGCCAGCACAGAAAATCACCAAGACCGTGCAGAATCAAACCAGGGCAAGGTATATTTGATTTTAAAAAAAATTAGTGTATACAGTTGGATGACAAAACAGTTTATGACGACAAAGAAAATCATCAATTTATAGATCATTACACAAAACCTGCAGAGGAAATACAAATCTGATCTTTTTTTAATTTTAGCCAGCTCTGTTCCTTGTCTCCAGGATCTCAAGGTGCAGTTGTAGAGAAGAATGGTATCTGGCCTTGGTCTCATCAGTCARTTTAATTGTTATTGTGAAAAACTTTAGTGTGGTATAGCCACATACTCTGAGTGACATCATGTAAATTTGCACTAGATCTGACAAAMTGCTACTTTTAAGTATTYGACCAAAGTGGCTACAACTCTTTATACAAAAGGTCTAAAAGTCTGTAKTATYTCAAGGAAGACGGTGCTGAAAAAGTCCAAATAAGATCATCAAACAAGTAAATCTTGTCATCAATTGAAAAATAATTGCTGTGGAGGTAAAATATTAACAGGTAACATCTGCAAAAAGAGCTGAATTCATTAAGTGTGTGCCTTCTGGTGCTTCTCTTCTTCCTCTCTGCATGCACAGAAACATAGATGTGTATTTAGTACCAGAGTATTGTGGAGGCAGCCTTGGCGTCTGGTCCTGAGTCAGAGCGAAWAAAAAGAGGAGAGCGAGGTGAAGGGAGGACACATCTGTCGGGTGGTCTGTCCACTCCTCTGAAGCTTTTACGCAAACACCTAAAAATAAAACAGCAACAGGCTGCAAACACACAGACTAAGACCCAAACGCAACCAGGATTTGATGCATCCTATTTGCTTCGAAAATATGTAATCATATGCCAAATTCAACAAGTGATGACGCACCCAGAGAAGTGTGAGTTTGGAGTTTATTGTCAGTGAAAGAACAATAGAACAGTTCTTAGACATGCTCCTGTGAGTCACTCCGCCTCGCTCTGGGTGGCACAGACACTTGTGACGTACTTTGGAGATYCAACTTTTTCTGCCCAAAAATAAAAAAGGTCCCTGTCATATCCACAGTGACAGACATGGTGATGGTTATTCCAGGATCACCATATTGGTTCTTGACTTAGAAGCAGTCAGACACATCCGTCTGTTGTTCTGGAAAGGCTTTATCCTCCTTTCCTATTCTCTTGTTTGAAAGCCAACATTCAGCCTCTTCAAACAAGTCGAGGTTTATTATGGATTACGGAAATGATTACATTAGCAGTTTGGACWCATATTCATCTGTCCTGGTGTTTACAGGAGATATCACACAGATTTTCATTTGGAAATAAAAGTAGAAGGAGGGTTTTCATGCACAGCTGGTCTGACACAAATAATCCAACTAACATCTGCTAAATCCTTTCTCTTTCAAAACTGTGATCAAACTTGGCCTCTTTGTTTTCTGGCAGCTGCTTCTCTAACTTCTTCTCTGACAGAATGTCTTTTACCAATACGCCTGTCCCTCCTCTGGACATGTCTAAACCATCTCCGTCTGGTCCCGCCAACTTTATCTCCCAGTTGTTTAATCTGTGCTGTACCTCTGGTGGTCTCAGTCCTAATCTTTTCCATCCCTGTCACTCCCAAGGATAACCTCAATATCTTTATCTCTGCCACTTCCAGTTCTTGTCTCCTGTCTTTTTGTCAAACCAAACAAAGCTGGTCTCACTCCTCTCCTTTCTTCTGACCTTTGCTGACACCCTTTTGGTCACAAATCACCCCTGAAACTTTTCTCAATCCACTCCATCCTACATCCTTCACCTCCTTACCATACTCCCCATTTGTGATAATTTCTGTATTTATTTATATTTTTACCAGAACACCTTTATACGATTAAAACCAGTTCATCTGTTAGTCCCAGCGGAGCAACCTGCAGCCAACACAAGGATGTTGCAACAGCCAAGGTGTCTTATTTGTTCTAAAACATTTATTGAGACTCTCGTGACTTCATTAATATTCCTAATAAAACCTGTAAAGTAAATCATATAAACCAMAAAACTATAAATTTCCAAAAATCTGCTCATATTAAAATTTATTACATGTAATTAGGTGTTAAATTTTAAAGTATACAAGTAAAAGTATTGTATGCTGTTAAGTGCCAGGAGGACTGTGACCAGTTATACATTGGGGAAACAAAGCAACCACTGTTCAAAAGAATGTCCCAACACAGACGAGCTACATCTAATGGCCAGAACTCTGCAGTTTTCACTCATTTACAGGCCAGCGGTCACTCTTTCAGAGATGAGGATGTTCTCATTCTTGATAGAGAGGAACGTTGGTTTGAGAGAGGAGTAAAAGAAGCCATTTTTGTGAAGAAAGACCGTCCATCATTAAACAGAGGTGGAGGCCTCCATTTTCAGTTGTCCCCCTCCTACAGCGCTGCCATTGGCAGTATCWCTCCACCCCCTGTTAACAATAGGTGTTAATTAGGTGTGAACGATAGCCATGTGATGTGAGTATCAGTCACATGGAGGCAGTGCTTAAAAGCCTGAATTTTGCCTGAAACTCTCAGACTGAAGAAGTCTCTTGGAGGAGAGACGAAAYGTTTCATTAGAGAAGAACCCGTCCAGAGGACCTATACAATTTTTTTCCTTTTAAGTAAAAGTATTATTTTTATGTTTTGAAAATAAAGGTAAAAGTTACGATTTAAAAACATAAATGGTAAAACTGTACAAGTAATTAATTAATATGTACCTCTGGTAAAATATGAATATTGTATGTATAGAACATGCCCTTCTATTAATGGTTTCATCCATGATCCTTGCCCCCCCCCCCCTTTTTTTAAAGTAGTGGTACAGTCCATCAGCACGCGCGCGAAACTTCTAACAAAAGATGGCGTCGAAAGTAGCAGCAGGTCGGTATGATGTTTACAAAAAGAAAACAATATATTTGTTTATTTGACTGGCGAAATGCTGTAAATTCATAGTAGTTGCAACGACGAACATGTCAGGCACATAGTGCTGTCAAGTTTTTTTTTTTTTTTTCAGAGTTTCCTGCTGGAGTTTTACGAAGCATTTTTTGTGGCTAAACTAAAGCAAAATTAGCGAATGAATCTGTCGGCCTTAACGTCATTTGAGCTGACCCGTCTGTCCAAATAAAACATTAAAAACATTTTTCCGTGTTCAGGCCGTCGAAGGACGAAGCGCAAAGCGGAGGTTCAGGCTGAGGAGCAGAGTGAGGAGAAGAAGGAGAGGAGAGAGGAGGAGAGCGGCCTGACAGGACCACGGGTGGTCATTGAACACTGGTGAGAAATTTAATCACGTTGTTTTTAGTCCTGAACGACTTATTCTCACTTATTTTCTACATGAGGCTGAATTTAGGTACTTAAAGATAAAGTCAAGGGGGGAAAACAAAAATGTGTATTTTGCATATTTTGTACGGAAGCGTAGAGCTGTCACATGACAAAATTATTTTTAAACTGGATCTCGTTATAATGAGAAAACTATCTGGTAAAAATGAGAAAACCATCTTGTTATATCAAAATAACCGTCTTGTTATAACGTGTTATGGTTTCTTCTGGTTTGTCACTTTCACTGAAGTTTGTTGCCTGGATGGAGAACACGACTGAACCACTAAATAAACAAAAACRAACAGAACACATTATTTGGGTTTGTGCTCAGACGTTGCAGCTAGTAGCACTTCWTTAGCAATATGCAYGCTCTAATCTGAATTCAGACACTATTATTTCAAAAACATTATTCAGTACAAACTTACTGTTTCATTTTTTAGTCTAGAAATGTGTTCTTCTTGCAGATTTCTTCTTCGTAAAAAGGTATATCGTGGCTCAGTCGTGTTCTCCATCACGCCATCCAGACAATAAACTTCCTTGAAAGTGACAAACCAGAAGAAACCATAACACGTTATAACGAGATGGTTGTCTTGATATAACAAGATAGTTTTCTCATTATGACGAGATATTTTAGTCATTGTAAYGAAATATTTTCTCATTTTTACGWGAGTTTTCTCGTTATAACGAGATCCAAGTTAAAAAAAAATTCATGTCATGTGACAGCTCTACGCTTCTGTAATTTTGCATTCATACAATGTTTTATTTAAAATTGTGATAACTTTAGTTTCAGAGGTAAACAGTTGTTGCTGTGTGACGTCACACATGCCAAACAATCTGGCTTTTTTTAACATGTCTGTCTCTGATACTGAATCGTTTTTTTTTTTTGCTATAAAATTAAAAATAAAAAACATCCAGCCGTACCAATATGAACCAGTCAGAGTGGAGAAACCACTGCTCTGAAGAAGAAAATGAGGAGGAAAGTGTTCCTGACTGGAATCATATGGTCCAGGTCAAACCGGGTGCACGCCTTCCCCGATGTTTCAGGATCCTAACTCGTCTTTTCCAAACCCTCGGCTGTCATGACTGACATGACACACTGAMCAGGATTAAAAGAGTGTACCAAAATTTACATATTTCAATCATTTCTGATGGCAAACCTTTTACTATAAAGTGCCTCCTGCAGGAGGAGCTCTGAATGGAAATTCAAATTCTGATTTTCATGAAGTTTGTAAAAAATGACATGTTTTGGTCACATTTACGACAATATTTAGAAATGTTTTTGACATTCTTACTGCATAACTTAATACGATCAAATTATAGTTATTTGACAAACTAAAGTGGCTTTCATTTGACCTTTTAAATATTTATTTAAGTCAAAAATGCTGTTTTTTAATATGCTGAATCTGGTSTTATGGTTTTGACCATTAAACATTAGCTTGCTAATTTCATGACTTGTTTAAATACTGAAGTGTTGTTAACATTATAAATCAGTTTTTAGTTATGTTTTTATACTTCTACCAGCAATAGTTGGAGTCTCAAGTCTCTGATTTAATTAAAAATGTTTAAAAAGCTGAAAAGTTTGAACTTATCCTAGAACGCCTTTGAATGTAGTTTAATCACATCAGCATATATCCTCAATCCATCTTGACGTTAGTTGTTTGTCTATAATAAATGTAAAGTAAATGAAGTCTGTGTTTGGGTAAAAGCGACATACTTGCATGTTTACGTCATAACAAGCGGTAATGCTGATTAATTTCTTTGAATAGCCGTCGCAGCTGCCTCGTCTGATGGTCCATCTCTTATTTCTGGCAGCAAAAGCTGACGAGTGTATGGGCGTAATGCAGAGGAGGTGAAATCTGCCCTCCTGGCTGCCCGCCCTGGTCTGACTGTGGTCCTCAACCCCGAGAAACCCCGCAGGAACAGCTTTGAGGTCATTCTGCTGGATGGAGGCAAAGGTGAAGAGGAAGGAAAGACACCGCCAAGAATAACTAGGCCGTTTGGTGTTCCCGAGGGAAGACCACCAATCTGGTCAAATTCTTTACTTTGTAGAGTTTTTACAATTTATAATCCCTCAATGTACTTCTACCATTTTATATCTTGAAATAATTATAACTGTTGTCATTTAGATATGAAAGCACTTACTTGTTTCATGCGTAGCCTCTTTAAATGACACGGCTCTTTTTGTTTGTATAGAAACACCCCTGTGGACAGGAATAAAGAAGGGTCCACCTCGTAAACTGAAGTTTCCACCACCTGATGATGTTGTAACCGCTCTGCAGGAAGCTCTAAAGRCTGATTAAACTCCCAGTGTGAAGGTTTGTCAAATCTGCCACACAGAATATTTAAATGTAAATAATCATGGTGCTTAAATATATGATTAGCGTACATGAAACTCAAGTATGAACATGTCTGTTTCGATAGATGCTCACAGCTGGATTGTTTTAAATGTTTCTTATTGTTAAAATAAATGTTACAGAACTTTTTCTCTGCCTTTTTTGTGCAGCCGAGGATCTGGAAGGTTTGACGTGGAAGCAAAATGATGAGGAGTGATGAAGGAGATGTTCTCAGTCCCTCTTCTGAAGAGCTCGGCTCCACGTGAGAGCTTCTGGATATGCGGTGACACCTAGTGGAGAAACAGAGCAAATGCACAGTCCTGCTGTTTGAAAAGTTGTTTTTAAATCTGTTGTTAAATAAAGTGTTACTTGGTTATCTTATGGTTGTTGGATTTTTTTAAGCAGTTTTGTAATATATTTGGGAAACAGATCCATGACTCGGCCACTCAAAGTTCTTAAAGTATTATTTGTTTGTTTTGTTTATTACGCTAAGGGCTTCTGAGAGATCGATGCTAACTGTAAAATGGAAAACAATGCTTTCAGTATGTTAGATGTTTTGAGGTACATTTTTTGTCTGTGAGAATATGGTATACACTAACCCTTAAATATTAAAAATAAGGTTTTGGAGAAGGTTTTAGTTTGGATTTTGTTGTAGTTTAACAAATTAAAGTCTTTGTCCTCTAATATAATTCTAATGAAGAGAAAAATGTAAACAATAGTGAAGCATTCACACAATAAAGCATTGAACAAAAATGTGTTTAAAGAGATTGTAATCAGTGATGTAGTTTATTTGTAGGAACTTTATGATCAGAAGGAAATTGCACTGAGACCGATTTTATTCAAATTATTGCATAAAATAAGTTAAACTTGAAAACTATCAAACGTACATAAGTTAGATGAATCCGATTTTTTTTCTTTTGTTCATAAATGTAGATTCAAATTAAACCTAACCTGTCACTGGAAAAATTACCTGAAAAATTTCTGAGTCTCTTTACTTGGTTAAAATAAATCTGCTCAACAACTTTATATTTTGATTAGTAACTTTGATTTGATGTTACTCTCTTGTTTGTTCATTTTATTTTGTTATTATTATTAAATATATAACTGTTATTTGTAAACTGTTCTCAGTAAAAATAAAAAGCTAAATGAATCCAGCAGGGGGCGGTAAAATGGAGCAAACTACGCACACGCGATTGTTTTGGAGAAGTGACGTCGTAAAAACGCGACCAGTTCGGGCATGATGACGTATGATTCATCATGAGCAGACTGTTTACTGTTTTCCACTAAAACTTTCCATTTAACGCGTGAGTATTATACAATAAAAGCACCAACCAACCTATTAACATTAATTAGACTTATCGAGACGAAGTTAAGACATTTTTTTAATTCACTCTGTATTTACCGTAGTTGATAACATGAGTTAGCATCGGCTTGCTAACTGCTGCTCTTATTTGTGTGTGATCTTTTCAAATACTTTACTTTGTGAAAGGGGTTTTATAGGTAAATACTATCGCACTTTATAGTAAGAGATTGGCCATCAAAAATGATTGAAATATGTATACATTTTAATTCCATTTTTAATCCTGTTCAGTGTGTCATGTCGGTCATGGCAACATTAGAGGGTTTGGAGAAGACGAGTGAGGATCCGGAAACATCGGGGAAGACGTGCACCCGGTTTGACCTGGAGAAGGAGACCGAGCTCCGGTTCGAGGTGGAGGCAGGTGATGGGTCAGATCAGGTAGAGCTGGAACTCATCTCAGGACTGGCCGAAGTGTTTGGATCAGAGCTGAACCGCAACAAGAAGTACACATTTGGACCGGGCTCCAAGATTGCAGTTTTCACCTGGCAAGGGTGCACTGTGAATCTGTACGGAAAACCTGAAGTGAGTATTTTGTAAAAAAAAAAAATTAAGCATTGCAGAGACATCATTAAAACTCTATCCATACATCCATACATCCATAATTGTAAAACGCCTAATTATTTCCATCATTACCACAGGTTGCTTACGTGTCCAAGGACACACCTATGTTGCTCTACTTGAACACACACGCTGCCCTGGAACAGATGAGAAAACAAGCAGAGCGAGACAACGAGAGGGGACCGAGGGTAAATTTAATCAGAACACACTTCCGATCTAAATATGTTCATTTTATATCATTTCTGAAGGTGTTTTCTGACCTCAGGTGATGGTGGTGGGACCTACAGACGTTGGGAAGTCCACAGTGTGTCGGCTGCTTCTCAGCTATGCTGTGAGAGTTGGAAGGAGGCCAACACTCGTGGAGCTAGATGTTGGACAGAGTGGGGTAAAACTGACTTCTCATGAAACAGATCTAAACAAAACAGGAGAAATTAAAACGTGACAATTTTGTATTTATAACGTGTCAGAATCATTTTCAGTTGAATGTAAAGTGAAAGTAAATAACATGTTTTACAGAAAACAGATGTCTTTCATTCAAGTATGCTCAGATAGTGTTATTGGCCAGTGAGGTTTCTTTAAAAAACAAAATAAAATTCTGCACTCTGTTGTAACAACTGCACTGATAAATGAAATTGAGTAAAATGTGGGCTTTTTGGTCATTCGTTCATTTTTCATTTTAAAAACGAGTACTTTTATTTTACACTCCAAAGACTGAAAAATGGTCCCATCTCTTTATTTTTGTCAAAGTTTGACACGATTGTCAAGCGCTGTCCTGTGGAACCTCCCAAGTTCCTCATGGACCTCTTGGAGAGAGGYTTCATGTGCTAAAAGCACCAGAAGCTCCAGGAAATTGTCAGTGTTCTATAAACTATCAGATGACAGCTGTTAAGAAATGTAAAACTAGTTAACTAGCATTTGTTTATTGCAGTTAGCTCGTTTATTCATCTCATTATCAGGCCATTTAAGGTGGAGCTACATAAATACCGGTAGTTATTTTTAAAGAAGTTAGCTTGCCTAACTGTATTCATTTAAAAAAAAACAGTCTGCAGTTTGATAAATAAATGCAAAAGTAGTTAACTAGCATTTATTTATTTATTTATTTACATGCAACCRCCTGTTATTAAAAAGTTGTAGCTGACATTGTGTCTTGCTCCACCTTAAATGGTCGGATAACGACTTCCAGTTTGAGAAAAATAAAACAACTGACCGTTTTTATGTTTTGGGAGTATAAAATAAAAATAAATAACCATCCATTTTTTTTTTCAATATCAGGTTTTAAAATGAGAACCGAATGAACAAAAAGCACACAAACCCAACAGGTCTGCTCTGTTGTTTCCTGTAAAATCTGTAAAGTAAACAGTTTCAGGCCTCAGGTTAAACCATCATCATACTGTTCTTAAACACGCACAGAGAAGTCATAATGGACATTTCCTGTGTTCCTCAGGTATCTGTCCCAGGAACCGTGTCGGCTCTGTGCATCGAGCGCCCGGCTGATGTGGAGGAGGGTTTCTCCGTTCAGGCTCCTTTGGTGTACCACTTTGGCTCGACTACTCCAGGGACCAATATCAAACTTTACAACAAGGTGAGGAGAAAGCTGATTTTTGTAAATGCAAAGCAAAACAACAACTGCTTTTGTCATCTGACTTTGTTTTCTCGATGTGTAGCTGACGTCGTGTCTTGCTGAGGTGTTTTCTCAGCGCTGTGAGGTAAACCGGAAGGCCAGCGTGGGAGGCTGCATCATCAACACCTGCGGCTGGGTGAAAGGTTCTGGATATCAGGCTCTGGTCCACTGTGCCTCCACCTTTCAGGTGGACGTGGTGCTAGTGTTGGACCACGAGAGGCTCTACAACGAGCTCAAGCGAGACCTGCCTCACTTCGTGCGAGTCGTCCTCCTGCCCAAATCTGGTGGCGTGGCAGAACGCTCCAAGGAGTGCCGGCGAGAGACCCGGGACGAAAAGATCCGCGAGTACTTCTATGGCTTCCGCGGCTTGTCCTTCTTCCCTTTCTCTTTCGAAGTGCGCTTCTCGGACGTGCGCATCTACAAGATCGGGGCGCCGTCCATCCCGGACTCGTGCTTGCCTCTGGGGATGTCTCAGGACGACACGCAGCTGAAGCTCGTACCCGTGACGCCAGGGAGAGACCTGACGTATCACGTTCTGAGCGTGAGCAGCGTCGACGACGGGGATGAAGACGCCAGAAAGAGCATCGTGGAGAGTCCTGTGTGTGGTTTTATCGTGGTCACTCATGTTGACACTCAGGTGCAGGTGATGAAAGTGTTGTCCCCCGCGCCCAGACCGCTGCCCAGGCACACGCTGCTCATCATGGACATACGCTTCATGGACATGAAATAAAGACATGTGACAAGTCCTGATGGATTTTTTTTTCTTTTGTATAATAAAAAGGAAGGTGTTTAATTTGTATTTGCTACAAATTTTACTCTGTTTTGTAGTGTTCACTGTACCGATGTTTTTATAAGTGCAGGAATGGTTTTCTTGATAGTTTATTTTAGCAAACAACATTTTATTCTTAAACAATAAATTTTGTTGACACCAGCTGTTCCTCGATCCAGAAAAAAAAAGAACAGATTAAAAACAAAATGGTTGGATGGATAAATTAATTTATGGTTGAAAGTCTGGTGTTATTTATATTTTATCAGCTTAATTCATTTGCATGTTTCAGTTTCAAATATTAAAAATAAAACTTATTTTTGACACTAATCAGAACTGACTGTCATTTTGTCTTTAAAATTTAAGTCCCATCTGTGCTGTACACCTCTTGTTTAAGAAAATAATGAAAAACAAAACGTAGTATGGCTGTAAAGGTTTGGTAGCAGCACCGTRGGAGGAGCTCATTTCATGTTTGTTTTGTAAACATTCATTTCAAAGTATCTTGAGACCTTTATGCTGTTTTTCCACATCATTACATGTAGATATTTTTCCAAAAGCAAGCAGAACGGAGTGGGAGAAAACTGACTAACTGTAATTTTTACTGTCAAGAGAAAAAAACTTTTTTCTTCCTGGAGACAATTTTTTTCTCATTCTACTTTTTAAACTTTTTGTTGGGGGATATTTTATTTTATTTTGTATTGTAGTTTTTATTCATTTGCTCGTTCATTTGCATTGAAAACAAATTAAAAACCATATTTTTGCATAAACAAAAATGTAAATGTAAACATTAAAGTTATTCTAATTGTAGCATATACAAAATGACCTATATGATTACTATTTAATCATTTTGAATAGGCTYACAAAGCCGAGTACGTGAATTGTGACGTCACTAGAGACCGCGCCCTCTCGGTCTCTGATTGGCTGTCTCATCCAACTCTGATGAACGACGGACYAGTTCCGGGATTCCGACGTCGGCCTAGCGGGCGAGCTAAATAGTTTGCTAGCAGCTACCTGAAGGAGGACTGAAACGACCCAACATCCTTCAGGCAGGACCGGTCGCACGTTCGATWTTAGGTGAGTGAATTATTTACTCACCAGCTTAAATGTTTAGCTAAAGTCGTAGCTGTTGTCCTCGTGAATCGTCAATGAAAGCCTGTCCGCYGCTGTAAAGATACTATGCTACTTATGCTAGCTGTGGTAAAAAGACTGATCGGTGTCACAGGGAGGAAAAAAAAACTTTCGAAGCTGGGTTAGATAATAGGCCCGTATTAGTGGTTGTCATTCTTATTATGTTCTTATTTGAACTAAAATATAAAATSACCTGCTTGTTTAAAGCTACTCGTGTGTTTTAAATTTGAAAAGCGATGCTGTGTGAGCAGATTAGTTGTCTTGACTTCAGCTGTACTGGCCTCGCTGTTTTGGGTTCTTGATCTGTCTCAAGGTATCAAACATGACATCGTTTTWAACATTAATTCACATTGTGAATCTGTGTGACGTTTGGCCACCTAACAGTGTAGCTTTTCGAGGTGCGTGKTGTTGTGGGGACGTGACGGACAAAGCTGGACTCGGAGATTTTGGGATTAACATCCATTATAGTCTGTGTGGGGGATTTGTTGTGGGGCAGATGAGATGATTAACAACAGAACAGGCACACTGACACTGTCTCTGCTACAGGTCCTTATTGAACACAGGGGTGTGTCCAGACTATCAGATTACACCGTTACCCGGATCTGTTTCCAGCGTGTTCATGGACTAGTTTCTTCTTCTGGAGATAAAGGAAATTAAAGTGTGTGTGTGTGTGTGTGTGTGTGTGTGTGTGTGTGTGTGTGTGTGTGTGTGTGTGTGTGTGTGT